TCAACGGTTACCATTAGTAACACACTACACCGTCATGGCTTAAAATCCTGCAGCGCACGCAAAGTCCCTCTGCTCAAGCCAGCACATGTCCAGGCCTTCTGAAGTTTGCCAAAGACCATCTGGACGATCCAGAGGAGGCATGGGAGAAGGTCATGTGGTCAGATGAGACCAAAATAGAACTTTTTGGTATAAACTCCACTCACCAAGAAGAAGGATGAGTACAATCTCAAGACTACCATCCCAACTGTGAAGCATGGGGGTGGAAACATCATGCTTTAGGGGTACTTTTCTGCAAAGGGGACAGGATGACTGCACCGTATTGAGGAGAGGATGGATGGGGCCATGTATCGCGAGATTTTGGGCAACAACTTCCTTCCCTCAGTATTTTCTGCAAAGATGGGTCGTGGCTGGATCTTCCAGCATGACAATGACCCCAAACACACATCCAGGGCAACTAAGGAGTGGCTCCGTAAGAAGCATTTCAAGGTCCTGGAGTGGCCTAGCCAGTCTCCAGACCTGAAACCAACAGAAAATCTATGGAGGGAGCTGAAACTCTGTGTTGTCCAGCAACAGTCCCAAAACCTGAAAGATCTGGAGAAGACCTGTATGGAGGAGTGGGCCAAAATCCCTGCTGCAGTGTGTGCAAACCTGGTCAAGAACTACAGGAAATGTCTGACCTCTGTAATTGTAAATAAAGGTTTTGGTACCAAATATTAAGTTCTATTTTTTTATTGTATCAAATACTTTTTTCATGCAATAAAATGAAATAAATTATTTAAAAATTTAACAATGTGATTTACTGGAATTTTTTTTGTAGATTCTGTCTCTCACAGTTGAGGTGTACCTACGATGGAAATTACAGAACTGTCCATTCTCTGTAAGTGGGAAAACCTGAAAAATCAGCAGTGTGTCAAATACTTATTTGCCCCACTGTATTTGACTTTTTAATCTATTATCAGTCCTCTAAACATTACAATAACCCCTTTGTAATGTGGAATTTGCCATATATCCCTTTTTTGTTTTTCCTCTTAAAATGATGTTTTTTCTTAAAGTTCTCAGATGCAGTGAACATTAACCATTTTGCTTGTGGAGGATGTGATGGTGTAGATGTGTATTGTTGTTTAGATTTCTGTGTGCCCTTTCCCCACCTCAGTGGAGATATGTACTGTATGTGCTGAGTGAAATGAGAGTATACAGGCCTCTGCTGTCTAAATTAGCAAATAGTTGGAGTTTCTTTTTTCACTACTGTAATTGAATAAAGAAGCTAATTTCTTACATATGTTTTGTTTATGCAGTAATTTTAGTAGTAAGATTAAAATGATGCTTTGCACAAAATCAAGGGTATGAGGAGTAAGAAAAAAATGACAATAAAATAAACTGTTCTCATTAGATGGCATTAGATGTTTCTTATAGAAATATTCTTTACTGTGTTATATAGTAGGATTTTTTTTCCATTTATTTATTTTTGGTGGATCCAGTTAAACATTAGCTTGCATTTTCTTGCTAAGAAAAGTAAAATCACTATTAGTCTATGGTTTCTTTTTAGGATGGAAGCCAAATAAAAACTGCCCAGTATCTTTACAACTGCTGTTTCAAAACTGAACAATATAATACATATTCACATTCTTGCAGCAAGTTAGATGAGAAGATTAATATAATTTGTATCTCACTTCTCTGAAATATGAAGCTATAGACAGTTGCTGGTTAGCCTAGCTTAGCATAAAGATTGGAAGCAAGGATAAACAGCTAGTAGTAAAGTTAAACATTATTTGTTGTGTTTTAGGTTCAGGTTAGAGCTAGGTTTAGTTAGAGTATGGCTTGGGTGTTAGGTATTTAGTTGTGATGGTTGAGGATGAGTGTCTTCACAACTATAAAAAGACATGACTGTGTGTGTGTGGGATAGTGTTACTCATGTTGTGGGAAGATAAATCTGTTTACACAGTCACACTGTGGGAATGCCATGTCTTACAGGGACAACTGGTAAGCCCCCAAAATACAAAACTCTAACTTGGTTAAAGATTGGGGTGAGGTTAGGGTTAAGGGTAGGATGAGTGTTAGGGTTAAGTAAAAACAATCACATATTGCACATTGTGGGTAAGGAGTTAAATTGATGTCATCTGACTGACATTGCACATGTATAAATGTGTAAGGATAAGCATGAATTTGGTTTTAGATGAATTGTTGACCTCTTTTTACACCTGAAAAATAATGTGTTTTCTTAAGCCCAGGGAAAGAATGTTTCTCCTTTCCTTCACAAGGATGAGCCTCAAGAATGAATATTTGAAGTAGATTTATCATCATTAGGGATGGAATTATATCAACCCACCAAGTATGTTTTCCTTCCTCCACCTCCCATCAGTTGCTTTAACAATAGCGTAGAGAAATAGAGGAGCTGTGACAGGCTTGTATGTATGCTAGGTTTTTAAATACAGTAAAATATAAGCAAGCAGAAATAATATATACTGCTTGCCAAGTACATCTTCTGATGCACTGTAACACTTTATTAGTGAGGATCACCAATGTAACATGGGGTCATGGGTGTTTCAGGTCTTTCAACAACAGATCCTACCAGTGTTCATTAAGCCTTGGTGTGTGGCCAAGTTGCACTAACACTCTACGACTTGCTCCATCTGAGCCATTTAGAGAGTCTATATATAAACACTTTCCCCAAGCTCTTCACTGATTTTACTGCAGGGACAGGGACTCCACAGAGAGAAAAGCAGAACTTGCTGGTCACCTTTCCTCTACTGAGTGTGAAGAATCTTGATTTTGCTGGCTTTAAGCTCACTGTGGCCCAAGTGAGGAGCTTCTTTAGCCCCTGCAGGACACACCAGCTTCCCTGCACTAATGTTGTCAGCACAATCAGATTATCAGTCTCATCTGTCATCTATCTAATCACGGGTTGACACAGACCCAACTTGAACATTTAGTGCA